GCCCCTTGCACTGGCCGGCTGATGTGCTTTGAAATGATGGACACATCGCAGCCGAGCAAGTGGTCAGTGCTGAGGCTGGAACACACCTCTGGCAGGTTCAAGTGGCGGAAAGTGGCTTTGGTGTAGGTGTCTCTCAGCTGCTCACTCAGACTCCTGGCCTCTTGAAACCACTGAGCTTCACTCTGACCCAAGTCTGTAGAGAGAAGGGAGGTACACTTCAGTTCACTCTGATGGCTTTGTTTGTCTGGTAAGGGTAGATTAGGACTCTCCTCCCCTTCACATGAAACCTCCATACACCCTGAGTTCCTCCCAGACCTTTACATAGCATTAGAATGATATCCAAGCCTCATCCTTGACCTGGGGGATTAGGCAGTATTCCTTTTTTGGGGGGGGGGGGAGTTGAGACAGGGTTTCTCTATGTAGTCCTAGCTGTCCTGGAACTCACTCTGTAGACCAGGATGGCCTCAAACTCAGAAATCCGCCTGCCTCTGCCTCCCAAGTGCTGGGATTAAAGGTGTGTGCTACTACTGCCCGGCTTCTTTTTTATTTTTAATTGGATATTTTATTTATTTACATTTCAGATGTCATTCCCTTTCTCCATTTCTCCATTTCCCCTCAACCTAGAACTGACCTTAATACATGCATGTAATTCAAATGGTATAAAAGCAAAAAGGAGGAGGGGGATGGGATAGGGAGTTCTAGGGAGGGTCTAGCCATACAATAGATGCAAATAGTCAAGGAACAAACAAGACAATAAACACAAATAGTCAAAGAACAAGCAAGGCAATAAACAAAATTCCATGAACACTCCTGTGATCACTGTTTTTAAGGCCTTCTCAGGATGACCAAAGTATCTGAGCCAACTTCCCTGTCCTAGCCCAAAGTCATTTTCATGTCTAAAGTCTACTTCCTTGTTCTAGCCTAAGATTTAGATTCCTGCCTGAAATTAACTCTTTGTTCTAGTCTAATATCAGATTCCTGCCTGAAGCTTACTTCCTTGTCCTTGGCTAATGTCATATCCTGCCAAGCAACCCATTTTCTTGTCCTTGGTCCATGTCAGATTCTTGCCAAGCAGCCCCAAAGGCCCTCTGTCTCTCCCCATTTTTTATTTTATTAAAAAGACTGAGCCTGTCTTAGGTCATTCTGGCAAGAATGCCTTCCTTACCCATTGTGGAATATGCATTATCAAAAGCAATGCACTTCTGTTTTAGGTTGATAAAGATCTGCACAGAATCTTACCTGTCCTTGGCTTGCCAGCCTGTTAATTTAATAACTCTGTCTAGGGGTCCATTTTCAGATTCATGTCATGTACTTTGGATGCCAACATGTTGATGTTGTTAAAGACAAGCTTTAACACGATGAGCAGGAATAAAAGTATTCCGAAGACAAAAAAGAGCTAGCATGATCAAGCTATATATGCCATTGTTGAAGCTTGACCAAAATAGAAAAATTACCCATGGCAGTATTCTTAAGAATAATCTGGCCAGGCAGTGGTGGCACACGCCTTTTATCCCAGCACTTGGGAGGCAGAGGCAGGTGGATTTCTGAGTTCGAGGCCAGCCTGGTCTACCGAGTGAGTTCCAGGACAGCCAGGGCTACACAGAGAAACCCTGTCTCGAAAAAAAAAAAAAGAATAATCTGTCACCCTGGTTTCCAATCTAAGCCCTCAGGAGACCAGCTTGCTGTGCTATGCTTTTAATGCTGACTGCCCTGAATCTGACACAAGGACTCTGTTATTAGTCCTGCATTCACTCACAGGAAGATATAGGGATGTTCACTCTCTCATGCATAGTTCCCTTCATCTCAGTGCTCTTCTCTCTAGAAGCTCCTGGACAATTATAAATACACTTTCCTTTCAAATTCTATATACAAATTCCCATAATCACATGCTGCTATCTAGTACTTACCAACCACCTTAGAGTGAACTGCTACTGGATCCTCATGGTTGCTTTCACTAGTGGTTTCCTTTAAAAAATAAATCCTTTATTACATCAATTTCACATGATACTGGAGCATTATATCATCATGAAGGACCCAATGTCTTCTAAACATAGCTGCATCTTTATGACAGGCATTCCATCAACTGAGCAATATCTCCAGCCCTTACAAGGTCATTTTTTAATTCACGAATATAAAGCACATATAAATATAAAGGTCATTGACTAGATAGTTAGCTAATATCCTAGAAAAATGTGCTTTCTGACTTTACAAGTTGGTATTTGGTTTTGCTCACAAAGCATATCCATGGGCCTAGAGTGCTTGCCTAGCATGCAAGCAGCCTTGGATTCACTAAAGAAGCCATTATCAGCTGGGCAGTTGAACACAACTGTGGAAGCAAACATTTTCAAGGCTGAGGCAGAAGATCACAAATTACAGGTCAGCCCTAGCTACACAGTGATTCAAGGTCAGCCTCAGCTACAAACTGAGAATCTGTAGCAAGCAAAAACCCAACCTAGTTAAATAATGCAAGCCTTTACAGTACAAAAGTTCAAGTAGGAAGTTAAGAGAACTGCCCTCTGGAGAAGATGACAGATGGGATATATTTAGTCTACATGTTACTCAAGTGTAAGCCTAAAACAATCTGATGGTAGACTTCTACAGGAGAAGGGGTCAGTATTCACTGTGAAGACCCCTCTATACTATCATATAGTAGTTGCTTACTAAATACTGGTAGAATTTATTTAATTATGATACATTTACAATCAAAAATTGTTGTTCACAGTAGTGTTCAACTACATGATCATGTGCTGCTAAGTCAGAAGAGGGCAGTGTTCATTACCGTGGCTTCTGAAAGTGCACAGTGACTCTGAAGGGCTGAACTCACTTGTGCAGAGGATTTCAGGGTTTGAAGAAATACACAGCTAAACAGAGAATGAAAAAGTCATTAAAAGCTCTATTCAAGTAAATACGCTGGGATTTTAATACACATATATGTACACTATGTACACATATATTCACAGAGAGACAGAGAAAGACAGAGAGAGAGAGAGAGAGAGAGAGAGAGAGAGAGAGAGAGAGA